GAGGGGGTGACGGGAGGCTACTAAACCCACACCATGGCCTGCTCTCGCACTGTGGCCCTTGTGTTTGCCTGTGGCTCTGTGTCAGTGTCCCTGTCCCTTTTAACTGGCCTGAGCTGTAGTTTGTGCCAACCTTGGGTCTATAGCAGAGATTTTTGGAAGAGTTCCTGCTGTGCTAAACCTCGTTGTTTCTGGGTGTGCCCGGGATGGGCCTGTTCCATGGACCCACGCTCATCCGAGACAAGGGGGCCTAGTGAGCCTGCTTGGGAGCTGGGCTGTGGGCTCTGGGATTCTGAGACGCACCCTGGCTAAGTGACGTCTGCCTGGTCCTTCTCCCCAGCCCACCGCTCTCCTCCAGTGTTTCTGCCAGCTCTCCCTTTGCAGAGAAGGGGAACCTCATTTGGGATTGCTTCCTCCGTTGGAAGGTGACAGGACAGTTGACGCTGGTGGCGGTGGGTCCTTGCACTGTGGACTCTGAGCCCTCTGTCTTCTGCTCTTTCCTCCCTGCAGCTCTTCGCCTCGCAGGCACAGAGCCTGGTGCTCCTCACCACCGTGGCCATGCCAGTCTTCAGCAGAAAGAATGAAACGGTGAGTGGCCGCTGCCTGAGAAGTGGCTGCATCTTTAGACCAACGGTTCTCGGCATGGCGGCACCAGAGCCCCGTGGGAGAGCTGTGAATGCAGATTCCAGGCCTGTGCCCACCGAGCTACAGCAGAGTCTCTTGGTCGGGAGGGGCGAGTGAGGGCTGGGGTTTGGTCCAACTTCCTAAAACTCCTTGGTGATTCTGCCCAGCCAACCTGGGGCTGTCCCACTGCTCTGCCCTTGGGACCACTGCCTGAGGGATGTAGGACTAATGGGGTCACCTGCCAGCAAAACCACACTTAACCTACCAGTTTGGGCAGACTGTAACTTGTTTGTAAAGGCCTCTGGTGAGAACATTTCTAGAGCCTTCCACCCTCCACCTGGTCAGGAAATGTGTCCTTACAGGCACTGTGTGTTTCAGACCACTCGTACGTTAGGATCCCTGAGATCCGGACCCTTCAGCTTCTGCTATGAAGGTGAACATTTCATTCAACTTTATTTCATTTAAATATTACAACTTAAATATTAATGTTGGACATTAATCTTCCCAGCGGCTGAGATTACTCCTGGGACCTCTCTGCTAGGTTCTTGGTTTTATTCCAGGGAGCTCAGCCTAAACTCTAACTGCAGAGGAAGGACCGCATAAGGCCCAAGTGGCTTCCTCTCCCAGGCTCTGGGAAGGCTGGGGTCCAGTCTGGCCCTGGGTTCGGGGAAGCCGGATCTCCCGCTGACCCCGGTGTGTTTCCTTCCAGCGGTCCCACGGCATTCTGCTGGGGGTGGTGGGCTCTGATGTGGCCCTGAGAGAACTGATGAAGCTGGCGCCCCGGTACAAGGTGAGCCTGGGCTGGTCCCTGAGTGGGGGTCCCAGGCTCCCCAGGAGCTGTCCCACCAGGCTCAGGAGCCTCTCTGCTGACAGGGCAGCCAAGCCTAGAGCTGGGATTGGGCCCTGCCTACGGCCCCCAGAGAAGTGCAGGCATTGAGCGTGGGAACAGTGGCTTAGACTCCTGGGGCCCTGTGTTACCACCAGATCGGACTTGCTCTGTGGCCTTTAGCAAGTGTGTTCCCTTGCTGGTGCCTCAGTTTCTCAATCTGCTCCTCCATGTTATCCAGTCCTGTTTGGGGAATGAATGAGAGTATCATCAAAGCACCTAGAGCAGGGGTGGGGAACCTTTTTTCTGCCAAGGGCCATTTGATCTTTATAACATCATTCCCAGGCCCTACAAAATTATCAACTTAAAAATTAGCCTGCTATATTTGGTCAAACATTTAATTAACTCATCTCTAATGCCTTGGGAGGGCCAGACCAAATGATTTCATGGACCAGACATTTCCCACCCCTGATCTAGAGCATATGGTGAGAAAGAGGCCAGGTAATGATATACATTATTATAGACGCTAAAAACCATAGAATTAGGGGGGGGGTGTTTAATATTAATGGCTGGGAGTATAGCACTGGCTCAGTTATATTCCCATCTGAAAACCTCACTGCTGTACGCTGCCATCTTTAGCATCCTGTGGCCCTGAACCCCTTCTCAGCTGCAGTGCTCCAACCCCAACAACAGCTCTGATGTCCCTCGACCCTGTCTTTGTAGCTCGGAGTACATGGATATGCCTTTTTGAACACTAACAACGGCTACATCCTCTCACATCCTGACCTCCGACCCCTGGTAGGTACAGATCTTATTTGTCTTAGGATCTTAGCCCTGTGGGATTTGGGTGCTTCATAAAACAGTTAAAACACTGAGCACATGCTGGGCTTCATCCAGGAACCCAGTGGGTAATATGTGGGGAAAAACTAAGTCATGGTCCTGTTTCGAACTGTTTGGAATCTAGCAGAAGAGACAGGCAAAGATCCATAACTAATCGATGAAGAGTCCAGTGAGCATGTGATGAAGTGTGCAGCTGTCCCTGCAGGACACAGCCAGCCATGCTCCCGTCACTGCCGCAGAAGCTCCACGCTCCCTCTGGGAGTCCGACAGTGGTATCAGTAGATCCTAAGGGGTGTGAATGTTGAGTTAACAATAAAAATGTCAGAGGAGCTGACTTGTGAGAGTGGGGAGCAGGAGAGCCGAGGCTCCCAGAGTTTGTCTTGGGATGTGTTCCTGAGTGCTCCTGCCTGTTTCCTAGCCCCCTCCATCCTGATACAGGGACTGGGGGTATTTTCACCTGCATTCAACTGAACAACAGGTGGCCAAGAGAGGAACTTCCATAATTTCATGTAAAACTTCTGCCTTCAGGGCCAGGGGCTCCCTACTGCTCTACTTATGGTCATGGCACTTGGCCACTGTCCATGGCAATAACGGCCACATCTCTCAGTGTGATTGTTGAGGGCATTGAGGGGAAGGGTGTTAAAGTCCTAGAGGAATCTTAACCCTTTCTCCTCTGCCAGTCTTACACTGAAGTGGGGTGACAGCTAAGGACAGGAACTAGCAGAACACCTTCCTGAGAACTTACCCAGGTGCCATTTGGAGAAATCAGTCTAAGGCACATTCCATTCCATTTGGTTCCGATAGTTACTGAGTATCCATAAGGCAACTGATTTAGTTATTTAAGGCAAACTACAGGGGTTCAGAGTAGAAAGAGATCAGGGCACACTGAAACCCCCTATGTCTTCCCAATTCAGACTCTGTTGGGCAAGCATATGAATCCATTATGGGCCACTAAGCTATACCAGTGGGTCCTGTAAGGGGCAGCCCCAGTGCTAATAAATAACTCACTAGGGAAATAATAAATGTGTTGATCCTGGAGCTAACGTGTAGAATGAAGGGCACTGGTCAGAAATCCATCTATTATCACCTATGTAATCTAGATAAATATAATACTTCAAACAATCAATTCATATTATAGACCGATTGTGTTCCCAACCTTATAATACTCTAAGAAGGCTATAAACAGACATTTATAGTCTAATTAAAAGAATAGACTATACACAAACAGACTTACACAAATGAAACAATTAGAGAACAACACCAGGTAGAACATCATTGCATAACAAAAGATATGGTAGAGCCAACTTCATGAGATCCCTAAGGAAGGCACTATTGATTTATGATAGGTATTAAGGAAAGCAATAGTTGGGGGTTTTAAAAGAAAAATAATAGAGGGTATGCTTAGTAATAAATTGAAAGAGGGTCAAGAGCCCAAAGTATGGCTAATTAACAAAGTGAAATTCTGGTCCTAATCTGAGGAGCTAAAGATGCTCTCTCAGGGATCATCAGGAATTAGGAAGTGGCAATGAATGAGAAGTGTTGCAGCTTACTCAAAAGAAGCAGATCCAGTGTTGAAGGTGGCAGGACAGTGCTGTTTGTCATGAGTGTAGACATCCATAAGGCCAAGAATGGAACATCATCCACGCAGGGACAAGGAGGAAAAGAGGAGAATAAAAAGGAGATGCTGTTGTGGCCGTTTTACTAAAGATCTCCTGCACAGGTAAGAAATAAAGATGAGGCTTTCTTGGGGGAAAAAACTGGCAGAAGCAACATGCACAGTGATAGGGGACTTCAACATTTAAGCATCTGCAGGGGGGTCTCATTCTGCTAAAAGTAAACCCTCTTGCCCTGGCTGGGGGGCTAAGTTGGTTGGAGCATCATCCCATACACCAAAAAGGTTGTGGGTTCGATTTCCAGTCAAAGTACATACCTAGGTTGTGGGTTTGATCTCCGGTTGTGGTGTGTATGGGGGGCAGTCAATTGATGTTGATGTTTCTCTCTCTCTCACTCTCTCTCCCTCCCTTTCTCTAAAATCAATAAACATATCTTCAGATGAGGATAAATATATGTGTGTGTGTGTGTGTGTGTGTGTGTGGGTGTGTGTGTGTGTGTAAACCTCTGATTAATTCTTAACTTATCCTAATGAGAAAATTTTCCCCTTTCTTTTTATTTTTAATTTAAATCCTTTTTTAAATTTTTAATTACAGTTGACATACAATATAACATTAGTTTCAGGTGTACACCCCAATGATTAGACATTTTATAACTTAGAAGTGATCATCCTGATAAATCTCACACCCATCTGACACCAAGCATAGTTATTAGAATATTATTGACTATTCCCTAAGCTATACTTTATACCCCCTTCACGATTCTGTAAAAACCAATTTTCTTAATCCCTTCATCTTTTCACCCATCCCTAAAACCCCCACCCATCTGGAAACTGTCAAAATGTTCTCTGTATCTATGAGTCTATTTCTTTCTGCTTCATTTATTTTGGTTTTTTAGATTAATTTGTTGATAGATATGTATTTATTGCCATTTTATTGTTCATATATTTTTATCTTTTTTTCTTCCTTATTAAAGAAGACCCTTTAACATTTCATGTAATACTGCTTTGGTGGTGATGAACTCCTTTAGCTTTTTCTTTCTTTTTTTAATATATTTTTTATTGATTTCAGAGAGGAAGGGAGAGAAAGATAGAAACATC